CTGACTTTGACCTAACCACCACCCCCTCCCACATACACACATACATACTCCTTATGGACTTCTAGTATTCTATAGAGTTTGCTTACTCATCTTAATTGTTATTTTCTTCACTACTCTATAATACACTTTCCATACAAAGTTCTCACTGGGAACTGATGTCACAGCAAAAGTGACTGAACCTTGTAGGTGTCTATCAATAATAGTAGGAGAAACTCCACAATTTGAATATTAGATGGATTGGATACTGTTGGACACTAAGTACTACTATAATTCTTTTCAAGTTCTTTTCTCTTTTTTAAAAAGTTAATATAGCCTAATGGCAAATTCATCTGAGAAGTCCAATAAATACTTGTTGAATGAATGAGGAACTATGTCTGTTTTGCTCCCTACCATATTTCAAACTGATTAATTTCTGTGAAATTAAAGCTTAAGTAATAAAGAGGAGGATAAGTACACAAGAGGAAGGTTAAGAAGAGTACAACACCATACACATAGTGGGATCTTATTTTACGAATGAATGTTGAAACAAACAATTTGCAAATGGAAAGTGCATATTATATTTGGAATATGGAATGTAGCCTTCATCTTCATTAGTTTTAAAATTATTTACTAAAGTAATATTGGTTTATAACATTTATATAGATTTCATGTATGTGCTGTAGTAAGTCAGCATCTTTATGTTCTAGATTTGTTCACCATCAGAAGTCCAATGCATCCTTAAGCATATATTTGACCTCTGTTGCCTGTTTTATCTGCCTCCCTTCCCCCTTCCCTTCTGGTATTTACTTACCACTTTTTCTTTTGTTTGTTTGCTTGATTTTGTTTGTCTTTTTGTTTTGTAGTTCAAGCATTGAAACCCAGGTCCTCATACATGCAACACATATATTCTAGCTGCCATTGAGTCACTCCACTTACCACTTTTTAAAACACACAATTTATTACATTTTTTGTTTTCTTTTTTATATTCTAAGAATTTTTTTTTTAAGTAATAGGAGGTTGAAGCTCCGTGTTTGGAAGAACCATGACTGTGTTCTTTCCTAATGTTAGCTGATGGCTAGCCTTCTTTCCAGTACTTAGCTGGTGCTGAATAAACGCTGTAAGAGTGAATGAGCACCATATTCGATGAATCTGTGTCATCATGCAAAGACCTGGAGAACCAGAATTAAGCAACCAAACTTTATACCTGGTCTACTATCTGACAAAATCTGGCAACTTCTCTGGTCTTGAGGTCAGATTCCAATTCACCTTAAGTAATTAATGCACTAAACTGTAAGCTCCCTGAGGCCAGGAAATGCGTCTGTCTTGTAAATGTTGTGGAAGAGGTCTGTCAAATATCTTGTTAATCTTTAATAAGAGAACAAGTTTAGTGGCAAACCTACAAACATTTACTTAGGAGTAGCAGAAAATTGCAATTCTTGCAAGTACAAATTTAGGTTAAAAACCCAAAGGCATCCTCAATAGGGACCCAGGTCAGTGAGTTCCTATAGAGGAAAGAGAATGAGGTCATTGACATACCCAGTAATGAACAAGGTAATAATGGGGTGAAGGAGTCACAAGAAAGGAAAGGTCAAGTGGAGGGATCACAAAAGTGAAAGGAGATAAAAAAAATTCTCTTTTATCTCATTTCAAACAGGATTCTCTTTCTTGCTGGCTTCTTGGAAAGCTGTTTGGCCCAGTCCACACTCAGATTCAATTTTTAAAAGGCAGCAATTCAACATTTTCTCTGTTGGCCACCTTTGTTGCTGTTGCAATAGGGCTCTAGTGATGTCACTTGTCACAATCTGACACAATAGGTCCTCAAGAATTGGAAAAAATAGATGTCAAGAATTCCTCCCGATGCTGACTCAAAGGGAAAGGTATCTTTGAGCTACCTTAAGTAGATAATTCCTTGATCTCACGCATGCGTTGAATAGAAATAGTCAGGGATTAAACAATGGTCAAGGATAACATAGATTGTGCCTCCAGAACTAATCAGCAACGGGCTGGAGACACGGTAGGGACCAAGAGACAGTGGCGATTGGGTGTGGAATACTATGCAAGGAATTGTAGGCCTGAATCATTAACATTAACTTACGATAACCAAGTTAAAAAAATAAACTGATCGTTTTTTTCCTGGAGGAAACCGTATACAAATGGTCATCATAGAAATGCACGGTGAAGAGTCTGTTTCCTCCAGGTGCGAAGGTAACACTCCAGTTTCACATTTTCTCTAGGACCTCTTAGACTCTTTAATCCTGTGAGTGTGTGTGTGTGTGTGTGTTCACATTTACATTTTTAGCGCTTCATTTGAGAACACCCAACTCCAGAGCAGCTATAACCGACCGTAACCAAACAACTTCCTGCTGGTCTCAGTCTGGCTGACACTCCTCCCTGCCATTGTATCGCCTATGTGTCGGAGGACCTCAGCCCAGTCCCCAGCCCCTTTCTTCCGGACCCGTCCTTCCCTCCACCCCCCCTTTCCTCTCCCCTCCCGTCTTTCCCTCGGCCTCTCCGACGCAGGGAAAAGCTGGCGTCGCGGAACCCAGGGCAGCACCCCGCAAACCACTTGGCCCTGCCAGTTTCTGAGAACTGTCAGCCTTGCAACAAACGCTACGAAGAAATCATCTTTTCCGCGGTAAACTACGGAGTCAATCGTGGTGTTTACACTAGGTTTTTGACCCCGTTGCAGCTGCGGGGATTGATTGGCTCCCCCGCGCCCCCGACGCTTGGGGTCCCCCTCCCTCCGCACCCCGCCCGGACCCCGCCCCTCGCAGCGCCATCTGCTCGCCTGCCGGTCTTCCAGTCTCTCACTCGCCCCTTCCCCCCCATCACCACCCCGGCCCCACCCCCGCCGGCTCCGCCCTCCCACCCCACCCCCCCCCGCCCCGGCCTCCGAATCTTCCCCGGCCGTTGCCAGGGAGACCAGCCGATACCCGGCAAATAGGCATTGGAGAAAGAAAAGGGGGGAAAGCTACACTGCAGCCGGGTAACAAAGGAGCAATAAAAAGCAACCCCCAAATGGAAGGCTAAGGACGCGTCTGCCAGAAAATCCGCAAGCGAGCTAGCAATCATCCCGAGTGGAAAAAAAAAAAAAACGGGGTGGGGGAGGCGGAGGAAAGGTTCGGGATTCACGTCGTGGCGAGGCTGGGGTGGGGGAGATCACCAGCCTCAACTGAGCCTTTGAGAATCTCCTGGATGGTGGCTTTGGAGCAGCCCATTGGCTTTTCCAGCTGGACGCGGCTAAATACAAGGGATTGGGTCCACCGAGGCGGCGGGGGTCTTTGGGGCCTGGCTCTCCGGCGTCGTTCAGGGGCGGGTAGCGAGTCGGGCGAGGTGCATTTCTACCGAAACATCTTCCCATCCGCTCTCGGGAATGCGACTTCGTGATCGAATGCGTCCAGGGATGTGGTGAACAGTGAGAAGAGGAAGCTTCGGGCGATGATGAGCAACTTGGTGAAAATTTTCAAAGGCGTGCTTGAACAAAGAGTTATTGGCTCGAACCAACCATCTTTTCCCACTCAAAATGACCCATTTCCCTACACGGAGCAGAAAATAAAACTGATTCTTCAGAGCCAGCTCCAGGAGAGATGAACCTTTCCTGCGACTTGCTTCTCACCTCCATAAACGGAAGGTCCTTCTTATCAGGATTCATTACATATAAACGAAGGGGTGGGGAGGTGATCTATTTAGACACTAGAGGAAACTGGAAGCAAAAAAAGTGATAGGAGGTGATAGGAGAACGCGTGTAAGGATTTATCCTTGGTTTGCCCCCAGCCCCACCCCTCCCCCCTATTTCTTTAAATCAGTGCCTCGCCTTTCACACACAAATAGAGTCTGGTACTTAGATGGCATGGAGTACTGTAGCAGATGGAGGCACCCTGTGTCCCCTTATAGAACCTTTTCCTTTAGCCCAAGTTAGATTGCGAGTGCTCAGTGATCTTCCGGCTCCTTTTCAGCAAGCAATTTCATTTTTAGAACTGTAACCGTCGATCCGGTTGTGCAGAATTTCATCGCTGCTCCCTCCCTCCCTCCCAAGAACATGCTGCTTGCTTTGCACACTCATACACATTCAGGGAGTCCGTGGCATCCGTACAGTAAGTTAAAAAAAAAAAAAAGAGCCATATTAAGGCGAATTGCATCCTCACTGTAAATACAGATTCATACACTCGAGGCTGCGTCTCATTTCATCATAGAGGAAAATTATGTCATTTCACACATTGGCAAATGCGAAGCGTTCCTATCCTTTATAAATGGCCCTCGTTTTAAATTGGGGGGAGAAAAATCACTGTTTGGGAATAGTCCGAGCAGGAGGATTTGATGAACGTCGCAAACTAGTCTCGAAATATTTTATTTCATGCCAGTGTGGGATAGGGAAGGGAGTGTGATTACGGCTGCTTGCCGCTTTTGCATTTTCCACATCTGGCCTACAGACCTAATTCTAACTCGCGATCTCGTTTGATGAAATTCGATCTTCGTGGCTTGAATACTTTTCAATTTGGGGCGATTTAACATTTGCAACCGTTAAAAAAACAAACCCTGTGAAACCAATATGGGATATGGAGGGGGAAAAACATGCTACACACAAAACCCAACCATTGTCTCTAATACTCGCAGACAACACACACGCGCGCACACACACACACACACACACACATAAACACACGAGGAAGATGGGGGAGGGGAGTGAGTGGAGAGAGACAGACACCAATATAGACTGACTCGAGTCAAAGCGAGTCAAGTTAACGCTTTCTCCGCCCTCATCCACAAGTAGCCCCCCCTCCGTGTTAATTAGTTACAAACAAAGCAAGCCTATCATGAGCTGCATTATCATTTTCGAGCGAAGGGAGGCCAGAGGCATGTATATTTTAATTGATTTATTTATTTAGAAGACATTAATTCTCGATCTGAGGCTGATTTTCAAACCGTTTGCAAAGCGCGGCTCCATTGTTCGCCGGGCGCGCAGGCCCCGCCCCCTGCTTTGTGTGCGGTGCGCGGATTGGCCGGCGCGCGCGGGGGCCGCGTCAGCGCCCGCGAGCCCATTCATCTGTGCACTTGGGCGTTGGACCCCGCATCTTATTAGCAACCAGGGAGATTTCTCCATTTTCCTCTTGTCTACAGTGCGGCTACAAATCTGGGATTTTTTTATTACTTTTTTTTTAAAAAAAAGACTACACTTGGGCTCCTTTTTTTGTGCTCGACTTTTCCACCCTTTTTCCCTCCCTCCTGGGCTGCTGATTTTTTTTTTTATCTCTTCGACTAAAATTTTTTTATCCGGAGTGTATTTAACCGGTTCTGTTCTGTCCTCTTCGCCACCCCCACTCCCCCCTCCCTTCGGTGTGTGTGTGCTGCTGCCGCTGCCGCCGCTGCCGCTGCCGCCGCCGCTGCTGCTGCTCGCCCCGTCGTTCCACCAACCGAGGCTCTTTGTTTCCCCCCTTGGATCTGTTGAGTTTCTTTGTTGAAGAAGCCAGCATGGGTGCCCAGTTCTCCAAGACCGCTGCGAAGGGAGACGCCGCCGCGGAGAGGCCCGGGGAGGCGGCCGTGGCCTCGTCGCCTTCCAAAGCGAACGGGCAGGTAAAGTCTACCTGGGATTCTGGGCATTTCTTGGGTGTCTTTTTCTCGAGTCTCGACGCCTCCCCGCTTTCCTCCGGCTCGCGCCCCGGGCGCCTTCGGCGGAGAGGAACGTGGCCCGATTCCGACCTGAAAGTTGAATGGGAAGCCGGAGCCTAAATTGACCATTTCTCCTCGGAGGGAGGGGTGGGGGTGGTCTCCCTGCACCCCCAGAGAAGGGCTTCCCGGAGAATCAGGGCTGATTCGTGTGTGGATGGGAGGGAAGGAGTGATAAATTGTCTAAAATGGCGTGTTTGGAGCTCGGCAGAACGTGACTAGCTAGGTGCTACGGCCCCCCACCACCCCCCGCGGCCAGGTTGCGTTCGGGCTTGGTGGGCGCGGAGGTGTTTGCCTGGCTCCAGTGTTTATTGTCGAGACTGGGTCGCTCCAAGGCTTCGGAACTGGTGTGCTTGTGTGTAGTGGCGGGGTGTGGAAGTGGGGGGGGGGGGGGCGGGGGGAGCGATGGGGATGGCGGTAGAGAAAGGCGAGGGAAGCAAGGGCTGTCGTATTGTACACCGAGGCGGCGTGCCCTGCCTGGGTTCTTGGAAAGGTGGATGGCAGGCGGCTTGGAGCTGGCCAGAAACGTTTCAGTCCCTTTCGGATGGAGCTCTCCCATAGTTCTAAATCTTGATTCGCAGCTGTCTCGGGAATTACACACCCCCCCGACTTTTTAAATTGTATGCCTGGGGTGGCAAGCCTGTGGCTCCTTAACAGAAAGGGGGAAAAAAAAAAGCAACAAAAAAAACTGTCCAGATGGTCTAGAGGCCGCTCGTGTGCTTTCCACTGGGATTGCCCGGGTACGTGGAGAGCGCACTCCCGGGGGTCGGGCCACCCGGACACTGGCCGGACCCAGGCGGATGGCCACGGGTGGGTGGGCGCAGGAGGTCGGCCATGGGTGGCTGCTTCACAAACACTGGGCACCCACCACGCCTCTTTTCCTAGAGGCAGAGGCGGTGTGGCTTCGCCCGCTCTCCTCTAAAGTGGAAGGCGAGCTCTTTGCCAAGAGGTTCTGAACCCGTTAAAAATGCAAAAGGAGTCGCCGGGGTGCGTCCCGGGCCTCGCAGAATCCCGGGCGGAGGTGGGCGTGGAAGCGGCCGAAGCGAGACTGGAGAAATCGTGGGGTCGCCCCTGTCCCCCGCCTCGTGGGATTGATGCCCACCTGGACACCGGGAAGCCACCTGAGCTTTTTGTTTGTGGACTCTGGGCTGCGCGATGGGGCTCGGGGGCGCCGCGGCCGGCGGGCAGGGCCTGGCCGGGCTGGGAGGGGTGGCCGGGCGGCCCCGCCCTGCCTCGGCGCCCCGCTCCGCACGGTGGAGGCACAGCGCCCCCTGCTGACCTCGGGCCTGCACGGCCGCCGGGCCTCCGCGCGCGCACGCGCGCGCGTCCCCGGCAACTTCTGGCTGCGGCGCTGTGGTCCCTCGGGGAGTTCTCGGTGTTACTAGGAGGCTTTTAGGGTTGCGGGGGGAGTGAGAGACTGTGTGGCCTGGGCGCAGACCACCGGCTTTGGCCGGCTCCGCGCCTTCTTTCAAAAGGGCTTTTGGCGTATCCTGGGATTACGTGGCCGCCTTCTCCCGCCTTCCAAAGCCCGCGTGGCCGAGGGCTCGGACGGGTCGTCTCGTACTCAGCTTTCCCACGTTTCCGTCCCGACTCTTGGACGTAGCGTTGCACGATCGCGGGCGTAACGCTGGGGTCTCGGGGGCTCCCCTAACGACCTTAGCTCCCATTTCTCATGCAAAACGCTCTTTGGGTCTCCCATCAGCTCTGCTTCCACCTTACATGGTGATGGCTGGGGCGCTCAGTAGGGGGATCCCAGGGGGCGGTGAACGCTGGACCCTCTCGAGCTGGAATAGGGGCGGGACTGGCAGCAGCTGGGCCAATTTTTTTCCTTTTTTTTTTTTTGGAAGTGACCCTCCTGCTTTGTGTGTCCCGCAGGAGAATGGCCACGTGAAGGTAAACGGCGACGCTTCTCCCGCGGCCGCCGAGCCGGGCGCCAAGGAGGAGCTGCAGGCCAATGGCAGCGCCCCGGCCGCCGACAAGGAGGAGCCCGCGGCCGCCGGGAGCGGGGCGGCGTCGCCCGCAGCGGCCGAGAAAGAGGAGCCCGCGGCCGCCGACGCTGGGGCCGGGGCCGCCGCCAGCCCCGCCGAGAAGGAGGCGCCCGCGGAGGGCGAGGCCGCCGAACCCGGCTCGCCCACGGCCGCCGAGGGGGAGGCCGCGTCCGCCGCCTCCTCGACGTCGTCGCCCAAAGCCGAGGACGGCGCCACGCCCTCGCCGAGCGGCGAGACCCCGAAAAAAAAAAAGAAGCGCTTCTCCTTCAAGAAGTCGTTCAAGCTGAGCGGCTTCTCGTTCAAGAAGAACAAGAAGGAGGCCGGCGACGGCGGTGAGGCCGAGGGCGCGGCCGGCGCGGCCGCCGACGGCAGCAGCAAGGACGAGGCCGCGGCGGGAGGAGCGGGCGAGGCGGCGTCCGGGGAGCCGTCGGCGGCCGGCGGCGCGGGCGACGAGGCGGCCGGCGGCGCGGGCGACGACGGGGCCGCGGGGGGCGACCCGCAGGAGGCCAAGGCCGACGGGGAGGCGGCGGCCGTCGCGCCCGAGAAGCCGCCGAGCAGCGAGGAGGCCAAGGCCCTCGCCGAGGAGCCCGCCAAGGCCGAGGAGAAGGCCGACGAGGCCGGGGCCAGCGCAGCCGCCTGCGAGGCGCCCGCCGCCGCCGCCGCCGCCGCCGCCGCCGCGGGGCCCAGCGCGCCCCCGGAGCAGGAGGCCGCCGCCCCCGCCGCCGCCGACGAGGCCGCACCCGCCTCCGCGTCCCCCAACTGCGTGGCCGCGTCGCAGGAGGCGCAGCCCGAGAGCAGTCCAGAAGCCCCCCCTGCCGAGGCGGCCGAGTAAGCGCCCGGGTGCGGTCCGATAACCCGAGAACTTTTCTCCCCCACCCCCACCTCCCCCCTGTTTGTTTGTTGGAGTGGTGCCAGGTACTGGTTTTGGAGAACTTGTCTACAACCAGGGATTGATTTTAAAGATGTCTTTTTTTTTTTAATTATTTTCCTTTTTTTTTTTTTAAGCAGCAAATTTTTGTTTCATCTCCCCTCCCTTCCTCCTCCCCACCCCGCCGCTGCCCTTTTCCCTTCTCCCCGCCCCCCCTTCCCCCAGATCCCATCTCAGATCATTCTGTTACCACCATTCCAACAGGTCGAGGAGAGCTGAACCCTCCCCCCCACCCCCCCTTCCTCTGCCTTGTTTCTCTTCTTTTTTTTTTTCTAAGAAAAAAATTTTTTTGCATCAGTATTAATGTTTTTTGCAGACTTTGCATCTTTATTCAAAAATATAAACTTTCTTTGTCAATCTACGGACATGCCCATATATGAAGGAGATGGGTGGGTCAAAAAGGGATAAGCAGATGAAGTGACGAGGGCCACGCAGGGGAAATGGAAGTGGTGCAGAACATTGCCAAGATAATGTACCACTAGAAATGGTGTAAAGGCGTAGGGTTTTTTTGTTTTGTTTTGGTTTTTGTGTTTTTTGTTTTTTTTTTTTTTTTAGAAAAAGAAAAAGTTATTACGATGTATTTTGCGAGGCAGGTTTACAACACTACAAGTCTTGACTAAGAAGGAAAGAGGAAAAAAACACCAATACTCAGATTTTTAAAAAGATCATAGTCTTAGGAGTTCATTTAAACCATAGGAACTTTTCACTTATCTCATGTTAGCTGTACCAGTCAGTGATTAAGTAGAACTACAAGTTGTATAGGCTTTATTGTTTATTGCTGGTTTATGACCTTAATAAAGTATAATTATGTATTACCAGCAGGGTGTTTTTAACTGTGACTATTGTATAAAAACAAATCTTGATATCCAGAAGCACATGAAGTTTGCAACTTTCCACCCTGCCCATTTTTGTAAAACTGCAGTCATCTTGGACCTTTTAAACACAAATTTTAAACTCAACCAAGCTGTGATAAGTGGAATGGTTACTGTTTATACTGTGGTATGTTTTTGATTACAGCAGACAATGCTTTCTTTTCCAGTCGTCTTTGAGAATAAAGGAGAAAAACTTCAGATGCAATGGTTTTGTGTAGCATCTTGTCTATCATGTTTTGTAAATACTGGAGAAGCTTTGACCAATTTGACTTAGAGATGGAATGTAACTTTGCTTACAAAAATTGCTATTAAACTCCTGCTTAAGGTGTTCTAATTTTCTGTGAGCACACTAAAAGCGAAAAATAAATGTGAATAAAATGTACAAATTTGTTGTGTTTCTTTATGTTCTGATAATACTGAGAGACTTCTAAGTCTTGCATGCCATCAAAATTTTTTGTGGTTTTTAATCTGAGGTTTTCAAAGCCTGATATTCATAGCAGTGTCAGATTACATACAGAAAGACCTTAGAGCATTCCATGTCCAAACTGTTTCCATTTATCCTGCATTTAGATTTTATTTAAAAATGGAACAATTATTTTTACTGTAGTCAGTATCACGTCAGAATAAATCATTTAATACAAAAGTGGTGTCACCTGCAGATTTATTAAATGTCTTATATGAACATTTTACAAAATTTTATTTGGTTATACAGGTCCAGAAACTAAAATTTATACTGGCGAGTCAGTTTAATTAAAATTGCATATGAGTCATGAAAAGTGGCCAAATGTATTTCAAAATTGATGTTGTATTACCTGCCGTTGTAATTGCTTAGTGCTGGCTTGTTTCCAAATTATTGCTTAGATTTTGTGTTAAATATTCGGGGAAAATGACTATGTGAAAAAGTAATAGTGATGAATGGAGATTTTCAGTTTATGGGCCTTTTAATATGTCTAAATTCAATAATTGCAAGCATTTTTTTTATTTCTAGTATCTTAGCATATTATTCAAAGGAAAGGAGGATAATACTTCCTTATATAGTAATACTTACTAGCTTACTTCCTTTGCTCTTTACCAGCCCAGAATTGGATTATTTTTACTTAATAGGACCCTAAACTGAATTGAATTTTAAGATAATGTGTATCAGAATACCATTAAAGTGCTAAGAAAAATTGTTTACGCACACCTGCATTGTAGTTTTTGAGCAGTGTGCCAGAAAGGGTTCAAAAATCAGTGGAACCACATTTATAACAACTGAATACCAAATCTTAGAGAAGTAACAAACAGTTATTAATGTGCTTTTAATTGGAATAATGGTTCCTAATAGTTTCTTACCCCTCTTTACCAAACACATATCCTGCTAACAAAATCTAACATTGTCTTAAGTGTTCTTTGAGTTGGGGTTTCTTGATCACTGAGGATGTTTGAAAGTTAAAGGCCAAATCGAGTAACCAAAGGACTGCTTTAATAAGGAATCTTTTCTACATTTCCAACATTTTCTCAAATACTACTTGGCCAAGTACAATGCCTGGTTTGTGGTAGGATACGGAAGAGAATTAAAAATGGATTTTAAAAAGTAACTTCTGAATAGTCAAAAATATTGTGTATCCAACTATCTTGCTAGGTTTGTTCTTTTAACAGCTGGAATTTATTAAAATGCGTTATTTTGATTTTAATCATTGCCTAAAACACTTTGGGTGGTATTTGATGAAGTGGTGAATTTTCCACAACTGATTAAATGAAATTTTACATTTTCCTTCTCATCCAAAGTTTTGTACATCGCATTGTTTTCTAATGGAAAAAATGTTAATATGGCTTTTTGTATTACTAAAAATAGCTTTGAGATTAAGGAAAATAAATAACTCTTGTACAGTTCAGTATTGTCTATTAAATCTGTATTGGCAGTATTTATAATGGCATTTGCTATGGTTGTAAAATACTTCCTCTGGATAATAATCATTGGGTTCTATCCCTGTGGCTTGTAAAATAAACTTGCACCAGCTGATGCAACCAAACTTCCTAAAATAGGGCTTTTTACAAATTAAATTTTAAAATGCAGTTTTCAGAGAAAAGTTTCAGATCTTAAGTGTAAGGGTAAGTTGAATTTGGTTTAAAGGGCTTAGAAGGTTTGACATCCTTAGGTTATAAAATATCCATTCAAAGAGAATTAGGATCACACGTCAATTTAAAATTGCAGTTTGGGGGGCTGGAGCAGGTGTAGCCCAAAAACAAAAAAAAATTAAAAATTGCAATTTGTTTTTTTCCTGAATATGATTTTCCAACTTAGGTTAAGGATTGTGGAAAGGATGCTTTCCTCTTAATAGGTAGATCCTTGAATTGATAATACCTGGGAGCTGGTAGAGGTTAATACAACATAATTTAGCTTGAATAATAAGTTAAGAGGACAATTTATTACCTTTAATCATTCATAGAGCAAGTTAAGCCACCCTCTACCCCACCCCTTCAACTTCTATGTTATTTGATATGAACAAGAATTTATAAAGAAGAATCTATAATGTTTTCAGTGGGTAAATTCAAGGACTCCTTTAAATTATCCCAAACAATGCCATTTTCAAGATGGAAAAGAAAACCTAAAAGATGTGGCTTAGCTCTGTGCTGTTTTTATTTATTTTTTATTTATTTATTTTTTTCTTTTTGGGTCACGCCCGACGATGCACAGGGGTTACTCCTGGCTCTGCACTCAGGAATTACTCATGGCGGTGCTCAGGGGACCGTATGGGATGCTGGGAATCAAACCCGGGTTGGCCGCGTGCAAGGCAAACGCCCTACCCACTGTGCTATTGCTCCAGCCCCAGCTCTGTGCTGTTTTTAAAGAAAACAAATACATTATTGACACTAAAATATCCTAGTATACAGATTCTTCCTCTCAAGTGTTGAATACCAAAATTTTGTTTTCTTACATACTTTTGTCATAAGATTTAGCAAAACTTTCAGAAATCCTTGTCATCCCAAATCTAATGTTTTGATAAAATTAGGGTAGAAAGTGTTAGTAAGAAAATTGGAGTAACTTTGTCAATTACTGTTATCATAAACCCCCCCCCCAAAAAAAAGTAAAAGATAAGTGGGTATTCACTATTTAGAATTTCAATACTGCAAGTTTCAGTATAATTTGACTTTTCAAATTATTTTTCTAACAGGGTGTCTCTTGAGATTAAGATATTAGTTAAGGCCTGGATATAGTGCTTGAATTCTATGCCTAGGTTATCAGTGGAACGAGAAAAGGGGAGGGATTTATGGGAAGATTTATAAATTGGAAGTTCAAGAAAGTCTTCAAAGCAAATGTTAGGTCAAACGATGCCAGCATTTTAGAATACCTATCATAAAGAAATATAATGCAAACTGCATATGTAACTAAACTTAGTATTCGTGTTTTTACAAAAGAAGAAACAGAATTAACTTTAATAACCTACTTAACTCAGTATAACCAAAATGTTTCAACATGTTATCAGTATAAAAATTATTGATATGTTTTACATTTTATCCTTTTTCCTTATTAAGCCTGAAATCTATTTTATATTATAATAGATCATAGTTTAGACCACCCACATTTCAAATGCTCACTGGCCACATGTGACTGCCATATTGGAAAGCAAGTCTAAATAATTCAAGTCTGAGTCAAGGAGTGATCAAGAGTGTCCAGCTATAGACAATCTGGATAGTGTAGCTTGTAATCAACCCCAGGAGTTTCAATGGTTTAGCTGTAGAGCCAACACTTTCTATATTTGAAACCATTTTAAGAAGATATAAGGTATTGATATTAATCATTGATACAATGCGATTCAGAACGAATTTGTTAGGGGCTGAATTATGTCTACCTACCCCATCTCCGCCCCCTCTAATTTATATGTCAAGATCCTACAACACTTTCCTAAGATAGAATGTGGCTGTATTTGGAGATAAAGTCTTTACAGAGGTGATTAAGCTTAAGTAAGGCTGTTAGTGTGGTCTCTAATCCAATGTGATTAGTGTTCTTACAAGAAGAAGAAAATTGGAATCACCAAGAATCCCCAGAGGTGCAAATACAGAAAAAGAAAAATCAGGTGAGGACTCAAGTGATAAAGTAACCATTTGTGAGCTAAGGAAAGAGACATCAGAAAACACCAAACCTATCAGCAAGTTGATTAGGACTTTAGGCCTCCAGGTCTCCGAGAAAATTAATTTCTCTTAATTAAGGCATCTAGTCTACAACATT